CCTTTTTCTCCCTCCCTCATTAACCCCTCCTTTTAATCATCAAAATACTTAGTGGACTAAAAAATGGCAAACCTAAGCAGAACACACATCATGTAGAACACAGGTAGAATGATTGTAATTACAGCCATGAAAAAGGAAATTCAGAGGCTGGGGGCAGAAAATATTTTTTAGTGGATTACTGAGTAGTAAGTAATTTGGTAGGTGTAACATTAGAGGCAGGAGCAAAAGATATAGTAAGTGCTGGCAGAAAGATAATTCAGCAAGTTTTAACAAAATTAATGGATTGCTAAAACCTAGAGCTCCAGAACTAGAAAATTATACATGAAAGAACTAGAACAATATGCATGAAGAAGCAAAAAACTACCTTCTATTCTGTGGACTCAAAAACAACTAAACTACCATGAGAGCAAATTCCTTACATTCCTGTCTGAACTTCAGGAAGCCAGGGGAAACATAACAATAATGTCAGTGCTTAGAACTTCGCTTCTCCAGTTCAAATCTATTGCCTTGTCTGCCTAGAGAAATGCTCTGGATACAAGATCTTTGTAATGGGATTTTGACTTTAAGCTCTAAGATTCCTTATCATGTCCTTTGCCAGACCCAGAGGCATTAGTTATCAGTGTCAGCCCCAATGGTATCATTTTCAAGATCTAGTTGCAAACCAAGACTAAGAGAACAACTGATGTGTTCTCAGGTGCTTAGCTTCTTGGGTGAGTAGGCAGTTCCATACTTGTTGAGTGGAAATTACAAATGAAGACAGTGCAGAGAGGGGAGAGGGAAAATGGAAGTCTGAATGAGAGGGAAATTCTGATGAAAATAGCTACAATTAGCTCTGTAAGACACAAAACATACTTCTTCCTTCATGCTTCAGTCAGTAGATCTTCTGTTTGATGGTAGCCTCCAAAGGTAAACTCAAAATCCTTCCTGTTTCCAATATGAAAGTCCTTCATTCTTCATTCTTTTCAAGAATTCTCTGTGATCCACAAGGAAAGTTTCTTGGTCAAAGTGAGACAAAGAGCTATGCTTTGTAAGGCAAAAATGTAACTTTTACAAAAAATTACTCAGAAGACAAGGAAGCGATTAATAATAAAAACTTAATAATGACTATAGTGACAATTATATTTGTGTTTAAATTGAGGTTGTATGTACTGTGCATACAAGAAAAACAGAGAGGGATTAGGTCAATTGTCACACATTATGGGCTTAGCAGGTACTTGATTTATATCTCAAATTCACAAGTAGATGTACTGAAATAGAAAAGACTGGTGGAATTTTTAATGTCTGTGTCACAGGGAAAGATCCTTAGGTACAAACTAGAAGATATACACTCTAGGTTGTCTTAAGGCCACCCTCCATTGTTTTCCATAATACACTCCTTATACACCGTTTAAAACTGCTAAAAAGGAGAAGATAAGAATGGAGTTCAGGGTATGGAATTATGAAAGTGAAAAATAAGTAGGGGGAATTGCTATGGAAATAGCTTTGTTCTTTTTCATCAAATGTTTGGATTTAGCAACTGGAACCAAGGAAAAACAATGAAAACCAATACAAAAACATGGATGAAGGAAGAGATTGAGACTTAAGAATAATGAGCACAGGAACAGTTCAGATGCTAGCAAATAACCCTTATAATTGTGGAAGGACATCATAGAAAAACTCAGATAGTTAGAGAAGTAGATAGATACATACATAGCTAGATAGACAGCTGGGTGAATAGATGGATAGTTAGATAGTAGATAGATATACATTTATATATCTATATGCATTTATATGTGTATCATAGAGTTTTGGGTCTCCATTTTCACTTCAACTCCAATTCCTTTCTACTGTGCATAGCACAATGGGAATGTATAGCAGTGACAACTAGTATTTATCAAGTCAGCCAAGTAGATGTTGGTGGAGAGTCCTACTTGTCAAAGCTGACTCACCAGGCTTTATTGGGGACCCCACTTGGTAAAGCCATGGGTTTGTTGACTATAAATGACTAGTTATTTTCTGCCCATAACTTTCTTGGGTACCATTGCTATGCTTTTCTAATAAGAGCAACTGTATGGTTTTTCCACAGCCCTTTGGTGGTGTGTTTTATACTTCTGGGCACATATATAGATGTGGATGACCAGAAGATGATTTTCTACTTAAGTCATATAATTTTGATGAACAGAAATCATAATTCTCAGTCACAAAGACAGCCTTTCACACAGATAATTTAACTTTAGACTTCAGAGCAAGTTCAAAGCAAGTTGGTTGCCCTTGGAGACAATATATGACTGCCCCTAGAGACAAATACAAAAGGTCATTCTCCAAGGTGTTATTATGCTGATTTAAAGCCAGAGCTTCAGACAACTTTAATCTGAACATAGTCCCAGTCTCAGGCTCAATGTCCAGCTAACTAATTGTTATTGTTAAGTCTTGATTTCCAATGTCATTTTTTTCTGGGAACCCTTACTAACTTAGAGCTACATACAAGGGCCATTGTGACATTCCTAGCATAAGAGAAACTATGCGACATAGCTTATGATTTGAGTTTGGGTAGGGCCTTATAAAACAACCTATGGTTGTCCAGATTTTGGCTGTGAGAGGTCAGAGAAATTGGAGGCAATAAAGAAAGAAAGCAGAGAGAATAGCAAGAGGAAAAGGACCACAAGGCAGAGAGTGACAAGACAGAGACAGAGTGAGAGAGGAGAGGGCAACAATGTAGGGAGGCAGAGAGTTAAGGGTGGAGACAGCAGGGCAGCAATAGCTATGCAGAGAGCAAAGAGAGATCTTTTAGAGAAAAGTACTAAAGAAGTAATAACAAAGAAAGTCACTTTCAGATTATGTGAGCCTCTTTTTTCCTGAAGACTTTTTTAGGTAAATAGAATTTATTTTCTAAAACCTGAGACTTTGTTTTTATTACCCTGGAACATTTCTGGAGAGATGGCTCAGCTGTGAAAGGCTAGGCTCACAACCAAACATATTACCCTGAAACAGATTTAGTAAGCCAGTATTCCATGGTCTGTATTACTGCTGTACCCCAACCCCAGAACTACTTATTTTCTGACATATTCCATTTTAAACACTGTTAACTCTATAGTAATATTAACCAGCTGGTTTGCTTATAAGGGTGTCCCTATCTGTAGCACATGCTGGCCTTGAACTGGGGATGCTTCCTACCTCAGCCTCCTGAAAGCTGGGACTGCAGTTGTGTGCCACTGTTTCTAAGCATAAGTTTCTAAGATCAGTGAAGCAAGTACATTATCAAAGAAATACCCACTTGGCACAGCATAAGTTTCTAAGATCAGTGAAGCAAGTACATTATCAAAGAAATACCTACACCTTAGCAGAGATTGGCAGCTCCTACACAGACTTAGGTGCTACTGGCTGATTAGAAAGATCCTGAAATATCACAACTTGGAAAGACATGGTCTCTTTGAGGTTACTCACAGCTTGGGGAAGAGGGGGTGCATATTAGAATCTTAGATGTCTATGACATTATTTACATTTTTTTCTCCCCCTTCTCCTCAATGTGAGATTTAGCCCTCTCCAAATAATCTCTGCTCATTCTATGGTGATATTTTGTTCATGATATAAAAAATTAGGATTGCCTGAACATCAGAGTTCAAAGCTAGCCACACTAGCTAGCCATAGACTCCAGGAAGTGGTGGCACCCACCTTTAATCCTAGCAACCACACTAGCTAGCCAAAGAGACCAGGTAGTGGTGGTACATACCTCTAATCAAAGCTCTGGAGAGACAGAGTCAGATGGATCTCTTGTTAGTTTTAGGCCACCATGAGCTACATGAAATTGGCCTAGTCTAAAAAAAAGAAACAGAGTTCACACAAAGGTGATCTGAGCACTTGGAATCCCATGTCTTTAATCCCAGCGCTAGAGATGAATACACGGTGGGAGGATACAGGAGCTCAAGGCAATGTGAGAAGGAATGCAGTCAGGAGCATTCTGAGTTTCAGTGAGAACTCTCTAGAGGACAGCCACCTTGCTTCTCTGATCATCAGCTTTAACCCCAATATCTGTCTCTGGGTTTTTATTGTTTGTACCACAAAGTTCTTGGAAGGTGCCACTGTGCCCCCATCTCACACTATCTGCCCCCTTTTAACATGGCTTACTCTTTTGTTAACACTGTCATTCCACAGGGTAAAAAAAAAGCATTACCACATCACAGGTAAAGATAATAAACTTTACAAGTAAACTCTTGTTTTCCATTTTATGACCTTAGAGCCTAAAAGAATTCTAGGGGAAAAACATAAATTAGAACAGACTTACAGCAATATATATAGAGAGGGTGAAAATATATGTGTATCTGGCTCACTCAAGGTATAAATGAATGTGAACAGGGATGGAAGGGTTCACAAAGGAACTCCTCCATTATCACATCACTGCAGTCAACTCTTCTTTAGTCTAAAGGGTAGGACTCCTAAAACATGATGATTTAAGAAGCAGAGCAGGAACTAAATATTTTATAAGGTACATTCTCAGCAAATAAAAAATCATTTTTGAGACAAAAAGATAGACAATTTTCACTGTAAAGTAGATAAAAAATATATAATTAAAGCAAAATAAATACAGTTGAAAGGCTAGAATGCTATGGAAACTAGTGACATTTGAGTCCTTTTTTGTGCCAAGCTCTAGTTGCAATATAATATTAAACTGAATGATAGTTTTTTGAGTATTTAAAACCACACAATTTTGCTGCATGTATAAATAATATCCAAAGTATTTTTCTCATTTTTAGTAAAAATATACCAACTCTTTTGAAAAAAAATCAAATGTGTAGATAAATACTCTTAACTTTAGTCCTCTGCATAGGGAAAGTGACCATAATATCCAAGTGACAAGGCAGCAGACATAAACAGATAAATTCAATTGACCTGAGTAGCCTGCTACAGTTGTGTATAACTAAAGCAACTTGTTCTACATCCATATATCTATAGTTAGAACCTAATTATTTAAATTCTGATTTTGCAGCTCACTAAAAGAAACCTGTAGGACTGTATGACAGAGTATGACAGCATACAAGAACAACACCATCTCTACTGGAGTTTCAGAATTCCTCCTAAATTGTTTTGTCAGGTCCCCCAGCTGGCAGCTCTGGCTCTCCCTGCCACTCAGCCTTCTCTTCCTTCTAGCCATGGGGGCTAATACCATTCTTCTGGTTACCATCCGGATGGAGGCCTCTCTGCATGAACCTGTGTACTACTTGCTCAGCCTACTGTCCATGCTGGACATCCTACTCTGCCTCACAGTCATCCCCAAGGTACTAGCCATCTTCTGGCTTGACCTCAGGTCCATTAGCTTTCCTGCCTGTTTCCTCCAGATGTATATCATGAACAGCTTTCTTGCCATGGAATCTTGCACATTTATGATCATGGCATTTGATCGCTATATAGCCATCTGTCACCCACTGAGATATCCATCTATCATCACTGACCAATTTGTGGTCAAAGCTGCCACATTTATTTTGGTCAGGAATGCCCTTATTCCTTTGCCCATCCCCATTCTCTCAGCCCGACTCCATTACTGTTGGAAAAATGTCATTGAGAACTGCATCTGTGCCAACATGTCTGTCTCTCGACTCTCTTGTGATGATGTCACTTTCAATCAAATTTATCAGTTTACTATAGCCTGGGCTCTGCTGGGGACTGACCTCATCCTCATCTTCCTCTCCTATACCTTCATACTAAGAGCTGTGCTGAGGCTCAAGACAGAGGGTGCTGTGGCCAAGGCCCTGAGCACATGCAGTTCCCACTTCATCCTTATCCTGTTCTTTAGCACCATTCTTTTGGTCTTTATTCTCACACATGTAGCAAAGAGGAAGGTCTCTCCTGATGTGCCAGTCTTGCTCAATGTCCTCCACCATGTCATCCCTGCAGCCCTTAATCCCATTGTTTATGGGGTGAGAACCCAGGAGATCAAGCAAGGAATCAAGAGACTCTTGAAGAAGGGGTGGTAAACAAGCCAGCTGCATCTCTGCATTCCTAATACAGGATGACTTATTATGTAAACAGAAAATTGGCTGAAATGCTAAGTCAGGAAATTACACTGAGGAAAATTGTGGTGACATGTTATTTATGACTTATTAAAGCTGTGGATTCAGAAAAGCAAAGTCAGCCACAAGCCATAGAAGCCAGGCACACACCTTTAATTCCAGCAGCCGTAAGCTAGGAGGTGGTGGTACACACTTTTAATCCTAGGACTCATGAGTTGGAGGTAGATAGATCTCTCTGAGTTCAAGCCACCCAGGGATATATGAGATTGAAACAGTCTAAAACAATAACCTGTCACATGCATTTAATCCCAGCACTAGAAGGGTATTAAAGATAGAAGCAGTGTCTTCCATATTCAGTAGGAAGCATTCATTCCCCAGCCACACTGAAGATAGGAGTATTCCATCTCCAGCCTCTCTAAGGAGAGCTCATGTGTCAACCCTTTCAGCCTGAGGTAGAGTGAGAGATAGTGGCCTGCTGCTTTGCTTTCTGACCTTCAGCTTGAAGTTTGAACCCCAGTATCAGTCTCTGGGTCTGGAAGCAGTGGAGGAGTGTGTTCCCCTTTCTCTACATCCTCTCCAGCATAAACTGTCATTGGTGTTTTTGATTTTAGCCATTCTGACTGGAGTAAGATGGTATCTCAGAGTTGTTTGGATTTGCATTTCCCTGATGGCTAAGGATGTTGAGCAACAAAAACAAATAAAAAAAACATATCTCAGCCAGGTGTACTGGTGCCTGCCATTAATCCCAGCACTTAGGAGTTATGGGAAGGCGAAACTTTTTGAATGTTAGATCAATCTAGTCCACATAGTGAGCTTTAGCATAGACAGAGCTACACAGTGAAACCCTGTATCAAGAAAAATCAACTCAACAAAACATTCCATATTTCTGAGATGTTATAATTTTTCCAATATTTATTATTCTATTTTGTCTAAAATAGGAGAATCCAAAAGGTTGAATACTGTACTAGAAAAATAAACTCCAACTACTTCTACATTTTTTTCTCTGCACATGTATTTTATTGTGACTGTAGATATTCGTGGCATCAACTGAACCTCATTATCATAGATAATATTAATCCAATTACACATTGAGTTAAGAACAGAGAACAGTATTTTAAGGGTCAGCTCTTAATGACAGAATGTGACTGGAGCCCAGAAGCAAGATTCTGTCCACACAGCTGCCATCTTTCTTCCATCTTCCTCTGTGTTTGCTTGCCACGCTTCTTTGTTGTTAGCTAGTGCTCTCAAAAGCTAGAGCGGCTTGAGGAACCTACATGTAAAACACTTTGTTTTAATGGGTTTTGGACAAGGAGCCATCACATCCAGCCTCTTAGTTTCTCCACACAATTTCTGTGCTTGGAACTTCATCTCTGGGATTCACAGGTACCTGAGTTCTGTGGGCAGGGTTCTTTTTATGTGTATAACTATATCAGAAGACACTCCATAATGACTCTTAAATATACTACAGTCCATTACTAGTCATGTGGAAACTTTGTAATAAGATTTTTTATTCTGTATGGAAATTCACAATTATTGAGAAACTTAGATGATATTCAGGCAAAACAGAAACCAATCCAGATCCTGGAAATTTTGGAAGATTATTAACCTGGATCTAAGGGATCTTTAAAAGTTACTTTTCTCCCTCTACACACAAACAACTAGAAAAAAATGAGTTACTCATAATGCAAGAAATAACTTGAAAAATAAAAAAAAAACTAGGATGATTGAGCTTCAAACTCTTTGTTCTAGTTTTTGCCCAACTATGAATTACTTGTGTAGCTTGGAAGAAATAATGTGTGTCATTCAGTTTCAGGATCTTTGTTTGATGTAAGAGGAAGTAAATTAGTTGTTTCAAAATGCATTTGTAATCCAGGTGGTGGTAGTAAATACCTTTAATCTTGGCACTTGGGAGGCAGAGGCAGGTGAAACTCCATGAGTTCAAGGTTAGCATCATCTGCAGAGCTAGTTCCAGGACAACAAGTGCTACACACAGTAACCCTGTCTCAGAAAACCAAATAAAGCAAATAAACGAATGAATGAATGAACAAATACATAAATAAATGGGTTTGTAGTCTTATGAATGTAGATCTACAGAATGATCAACTCTCCTGAAATAGGCATCATTCACACAGAAGAGTCTCCTCCACTTTTCCCTTTATGACACTTCCTATGCTGTTTCCTTAGTGACAACTGAAAGAGGAAATGTGAACATTTCCAAATACTCAAAGATCAAATTCAAGTGTACTTAAAGAGTGTTTGTATATCCACATCATTTATGGACCCACTTGCATCCAACTACTGAAGTCAATCATATGTTCCTGCTTGATGGAAAAAATGAGCAGATATTAAGGAATATTTCAGTTTCTCTTTGCTAAAATCTTTGGGGTTATACCTTTTTATTATGGTCATTCTGGCTGGAGTGAGAAGGAATCTGAAAAAATGTCATTGTGCTCTTAGGTGAAGTGATGTGACTTTTATTTTGTGAATCTTCTTTGGTATGAGTTATAAATGTGCTCATTAAAACATTCAAATATAGTAATATTCTTAAGAGTGATATTTTGTTAGTTAGAGGCTATGCAATAATAAAGAGTATATTATGTGAACAAGATTTTGACCCACGTTTAGGTGCAATTGTAATGTATACTTAAAGAGACATAAAATGTACTTATGTCTCCAAGCAGGCACTAACTGTGCAGTATCAATAATCAAGAAGAACACAGGAAAAATTCAACATGGATGTGAGTGTGTGTGTGTGTGTGTGTGTGTGTGTGTGTGTGTGTGTGTGTGTGTGTGGGTGTGTCT